AGCGGTGGCCCTGGGCGGCTTGGCCGGGCTGGCGTACCTGAGCTCGGGCAGCCAGACTTTCGCGGCCGTACCGGCGACCGCGAACCTTCGCCATCAGCGCACTGCCCAGACCGCGCAGGCGCCTTCTTCCTCGGCTTCGACATCTCTGCCAGCAATGATGGCTGGCGGTGCGGTTCTCGCCGCTGCGGCTGCCTCTGGACGCGCTACCCGCTCGCATGGCAGCGCGCCAGTGAGGAAGTCGGTCACAGCTCGCAAGGCCCTGGACCAGTCCAGCCGCTATGCGGACCTCTCCCTGGATGAGGCGACGCTCATCAAGAACGGCAAGCACGTGCTGGTGGCATACATCATGAAGCCGAAGGTCAGGAACCAAGACTTTTGGGCAGGATGTGCCTATAAAATCCCTACTTTGCCGGCTTCCTCTAAGAGAGGGTTAGGGCCGGTTAGGGGATATCCCGACCTTATGACTTATCTTGTGTAGCATACTTGTGTGCGAAAGGACAACTCATTGCCTTCATCAATCACCGATCGACCCCGTGGATGTACATGAATCGATCACTTCGAACTTTGTGCATTCCGCTGCCATATTATAGCCATATTGGTATAAGCTTCGAATTGAATCATTTCTTCAGTTTTCTCTCTCCTGGAGTTTGGCTCCGGAGCTATGGCTGAACGGCGAAGCAACTCCTAGTTTGATTTCCGCTGCGAAGGCAGTGAAGCCTTCGGAGCCGATGTGCCGCCGAGTATGCTTCGAGCTTGCCCCGAAAAGGTGAGTTCTATCGAAGTTATCTCCGTGAGTGAGGCTCGAGCTCGGGCGTGTCCCCGATGCTTCGAGGGTAAGAACTGCAACAGTCGGACGAACTGTCGACACATGCACCCCGATTTCATGAACGGGGAAGCGGATTGTTCCGGGTTTGATTTCGCACATGGTTCCGAGGCACCTGCCAGCATCCTCGAAGTTGCTGGAAATCAACGTGGTGATACCTTCGATGAAGCCATGTGGTCTGCGGTTAGATTACAAAAGCAGCTTCGAGGTGATCGAGCCCCGTTTGCTTATGATGCTCCTGCGGGCGACAAAATTCGACAAATTTCCCGCGGTTACATCCTCAATGGATGTCTCCGAAGATGCTGTGCGAGTTCGAGCAGAAGAAGAAGGACGACGACATAACGCTCAAGGACCCATACGAGGACGGTCTCCGAAAGGATATTCTCCTCGCCGTTCTCTATCAAGGACACCGGCAGCGTCTTGGTCAGATTCCCGCAGATCGATCACTCCTCGACGGAGCTCCTCCCCCGAAGTCAAGCCGACACACACAGCGGACACACCTATGGGCAGTAGAACACTGTCTGGCCCAGCGATGGAACCGGACTCGATGCATGTTGTCTTCAGCAGCGCGATTCGGTGTTTCCAGTTCCTTTTTCCACGAAGGCGATCCACGAGGAAGGCACCAGCTGTAAGATGGATGGAACCGCCATCGAATACGCCGGTTATTGTCGAGATCGATGGACCACTCCGATCACGCAACGCCACCAAATACAAGGCCGAACATTTCGGCTGGGGACGATGATCTTTGGTACGAGATGGAAGACGAAATCCAACAAGCTCGTGCCATCAGAGCCGCGGCCCGACAGACACAGATTGCTGAGGACAGATCCGATGCTTGGGCCTCCGAGTGGATCGAATATCCCCGAGTCAGCTCGTCCGACTACTCCCCCGACAGCGAGACCATCGTCGAGTGAGATGATCCCAGTGGAGGCACGCCGAAGGCCAAAATGACTTCATTATAAAGCGAAGGTCAACGATATCCTTCAGCAACCCCTTTCCAAACGACAATGATTTTCGAAGGGATCTGGCCAACAATACAACGGCAAAGGAAAGGGTTACCAGCCCACGTGGCACCTCCGGGCAAAGGACGAAATACACCGACGTCGTGGCAACAGTGGCCTGCTCCACCTCCACACTGGCTCTCGACGCCCCAACCAACTTGGACGACCTATCCGCCGACCTGGTCCCCGGCCTAGAACACCTTCTACGCCGAATCTGCCGCTGACCCCGATGCCTTCCTTTACACCTCGCCCGACCTGGATACCGAAAGGCACTGACAAAGGCAACAAGGGTGGTGGCAAGAAGGGCAAGTTCGGCAAAGGGTGGAAGAAATAGGGACAGCACGGCCCTCAATCTACGGGTTCTGGAGTCGACCGTCGCACGAAATCTGGAAACGACTGTGGACCACTTCGTACCGAAACCTCGTGCGACAATCTGCCTGTTGTTCGCCTCACGTTCTTCGATGGCATCGGCGTCGCTAGCGAGGCACTCCGACAGATCAACGACAACTTATGAGAGATGAACGTTGCGCGACCTAAACACGAATGGAGAGTAGGATCGAGTTCCTTCGCTGTCCGATTTGTTTTCCGATGTAAGGCCCAACCGAGGTGTTCGGTTCAAGAGAATTGAGGCATTAGTCATGGTGGCTGGTTCTCGGAGGAGGTCCGAAATAGACCCTGGTGACGTTCCACAAATTCGATGTTTTGCGTAGCGTGTGGTGACAATCGCCGTTGGCTGGTGCCAAGCATTGCCCAGGGCGATGTCTCGTGTCGTAGTATCACCTCCTGCCAAAGCAGCGGTGTATAATCAGGCGTTAGTTCGTGGGGTTGTTCTCGGAGTACGTAAAGCTGTCGATGACGTGGCGTCGGGCCACTGCACCGTGAACGGTTCCTCGTGTTGACAAAACGGATATCGATGATGGTCTGCTTTCGCGTCGCAGGTGTCGGCAAGCAATGGAACAATTGTGTTCCGTTCTGTAGGCACGTTGGGAGAGAGAAACCTTTGGCCTGTATCTGGGGTTGTGGTCCGCGAGAGATCGGATTGTGCAGACGATGCCACCCATCACCCAGCGAGCCAGTGAACGTCAGCGACCAAGGTGTCCACTTCGTTAGCTTCGCTTCGACGTCGTCCCGTTCGATCGAGGTCCACCAGAGACGTTTTCGGTGTACCACGGCACCATCTGCTGCGTCAATAATGACCGGGTCCATAGCCAGCGCAGTCGTCATCGCCAACAAATTCTCCCGCACGCTTGGATGTGGGACGACATTCTCGATGACAGTCTCGGTGGGAATTCCTCGAAAACGGAGTCGAAGCGCATGTTCGATGTCCAACATGTGCTGGAAAAGTCGACCAGAATCTCCATCCGTGCCCTTCGCGGATGTCCGTAGTCTGGAGAAGTCGGGGCAAGGTGGTCCAGCCGTGATGACCATGATGTATTGTTGACTCGGTGTTACTAGTCTAGATATGCACGGCAACCATCGAAAGCTGTTTCATCGACTACCTCGATTTCAACAGGAGGTGATCTCCGAGATCAAACAGTTGGTGTTACAGATGGAAGACCGCACTGGGGCGTGGTTTCGGTGACGTCCTGTACCGCGAACTATCCGAGGGATTCCGTCTCATGGGGCAACTGAGTCAATTGACATGTTCGACAAGACAACAAATACCTCGAACCAACACCCATCGAGGAGTTCCAAGACGAAGAACCGAGCTTACATCCTCGATAAACTCGACAAGAGCAGAGTCGATGATCCGTGGGAATTCATGCTGGACGAGACGATCGGCGACGTCAACATGGGACACATGCATGGACCCTTCGCAGCACCCGACTGGTGGCCACGACAATCAGTACCACCGAGCAAGCGTGAACAGACGAATTTCCTACCTTTACCACACCACGACCCTTTCATTGCGTTGAGCAAACCGACAGCGATGGGAAAACGAAGATTCGCCGAGGTGAAGATTGCAACGCAGCGGCCACAATTCGGCGCGCATCATCGACCAACCGTTCCACCGCACTCCGGACCACTGTGTCTCGCTTGGATTGGCTTTCCTCAAACGTGACCCCGACGTACCATTGAAGGTGTGAGGAAAAAACCGCGAGGGAGGTTTACCGACAACTACCTCCACACGATCCACGACAAGCATACGTTCTTCTCCTTACGCCGGAAGGACCCACGTTGTGGGGCCACAACGTCCTCTTGTTCGGTTCAGCCGCGAGTGTCTGGCCTTACATCAGGTTCGGCGATGTGCAGCAGTTCGCTTCCGCCAACGTGATGTACGACGAGCTGCCTATTTCCAAGGACGATTGCCCTCCGTATTGGAGGCAAAAATTGTGGGCAAACGCCAACAGCTGAAGTGCTTGGTAGCGGCAACTTGCAAACCGACGAGCGCGACTACCCACTTAAGCCAATGTCTCTGCGCTCAGCCGATTCGAGGACATCGAGGAAGCTCGACTTTGGATGCAAATCGAGCTACCCTTGCGAGGTTTACAGGTGACATATCTTTTGCAGCCACTGCTGGTGTTGCAGATGTGCCGGGCACCGATAAGATACATCGAGCCCTGCAAAAAAGACCGGTAAGGTCTCGTGGCGTTCGGGAGGACGCGACCACCGCCGATGGGAAACGGTCGGCCCTCCTAACATCGAAAGAACATTTCTGTATGAACCTTGATCGAAGCTTTCGATGAACCCGAGTAGACTCCGAAGAAAATCAAAAACGCAGAACACGCCACCGAAGCGAAAGCAGTTGGAAAGCATGCATAACCGGTGAAGGCTTTCGTTGTCGTGTAACACACATGTGTGCGAAAGGACATTTCCCGGTTTTCATCAAACACCGTTCGACTCCGTGGATGTACACGTATCGATCACCTCGAACTTTAAGCATTCCGTTGCCATTTTGGTATATGCTTAGAATTGAATCTTTTCTTTTCCCGCCCACCCTAACCTTTGTTTAGGCGTTTCGCTTTCTTCTGCTTTCATCTTGCGAGATACGACCGGGAAACGGTTTGTGTGCTGCTTGGGGTCCCGAAAAGGCAGGCTACG